TTTAGCATTGTTTCCTGAACACATATTATATCTGGGATTATTTCTAATTCATAAACATTTTAAGTTATTGTCCATTGGCTATTAAACTTGGCATTCCATTGTGGAATATGTAGAACCATTATAGAAGCTTGGATCCTAATCCTGAGCATTTTCTGTTTCAGTGGTACTCAAAATGGTATGAATCTGATCTGCTTGTATTTCTTTCATATCTAAAAATCTTCCTGCTGCTGTTATAATTGCTTTTATTTTATCACTTTTCTTCTTCATTTGTACTGTGACATTAATAATGTGGAACACAAAAGCTACTAAGTTTTCTTTTTTCACCACCATTGTATTTTCATCCACTCTACATTTATGCAAACATATTTGTTGTTGGAACCAAGATTTGTCTCTGATAATTCTGCCCTTGGTTTGAATTCCAAGTTGTGTTTCTTTGACCCGTTTCTCCCACCTCATTCCTCTTGCACTCTTTCCTTATTCTTTTTAAAGCTTCAGCATATGAAACTCTGTTATTTTGATTCTTTGAGCTTTTCTGGCTTCCATTTGCACTTTACATCCACCATATGCTGCACTGTGTTCTCCTCCGCAGTTACATTTGATTTTAGCTATTTTATCACATTTTCCAAATTTATGTGGACCTCCACATCTTGGACACCTAACTTTCTTTAGCAGTGTGTCCCATTCTTTGGCAAGTAAGACATCTGAGGGGTTTAGGGATATACTCTCTAACTCTGTAGTTCATGTTTCCCAACTGGATATTTTCTGGCATAATATATTCAAATTGTAGAATCACTGCCATAGTGCCTTTAAGTTCCCCGTCTCTTTTACTTTTAATCCTGGTGGCATCTTTTCCCTCTTTGATTTCTTTTTTTACATCCTGCATTGTCATTTCAAGTGAAACTCCTGAAATTACTCTCAACTTTGGTAAAGATCCTGGAATATATGTTTTTAATTCTTTCCCCCATCAGGGTTTTCATTTTGATTTTTTTCTGTTGTTGTGGTCACTGACGGCATGATTCAACACTCTTCTGTTATTCATAATTCTAGCCATTTTAATTCTCCCTATTTCTTCCTCCATTTGCTTTGGTCAACTTTACCGGTTGAATAGATCTCCCATCTCTCTTGAATTCCATCATGACTTTAAATTCCACTCCTATGCCAAAATCATCCTGTACTCGTGAACTCGCCCGTTTGTTTGTTTTTGTCTTTTTGCCAACTTCTGCTCTTGCCTCACTTTCTTCTGACCAACTTCTTGCCCTTTCTTGTCTCTTCCCAAGTGCTCTTTTCATTCTTGATGATCTTGATATCATCCATTCCATCTCATTTCTGCTTAGGGTTGCCACCTTTCAGAAATCAAAATAAGGGACGCCCACCACGGCGCATCATCCTACTCATGGGGTGGGACGTCTGCTATGGTAATGGATAATATTTTATGGCAGTGTTTTTTGTCTTTAAAAAGTGATCCATAGAGCAGTCGTTCATGCGTACGACTGCTTGTACGCATGAACGAGCAGTTTTGAGGTAACGAGCAGTACCTCAAAACTGTACTCCAGTCAGAGTAGTATATAAATATGTTTAATTAAGCAAGTGTAAAAAGCATTTGGTAAACCACTGAGTAACTGATCATAACACCTGATTTAATATTCAAAATGTATCCACTGTGACAATATGTGTTTTCTGTGTAGTTATTTTTGAGGTTTTTCTGTGTTTATTTAGTTCCGTTTCCCCTGTTGAGTCTCTGTGTTCTCTGTTTTCTCCCAGCTGTGTCTTGTTCCCCGATTACCTTCCCTGTGCATTTAACCCCACCTGTTGTCTCTGTCCTTCGTCGGATCCTTGTTGTTTGTTACTCGTCAGATGCGAGTTGTTGCAGTCCGTCTAGTTAGTCAGTCGGCCACAATAGAACTGTGAAGTCCTGTGGCGGCTTCAGCTCTCGGTTACAGTCATTTAAGTCAGTAGCTTCCAGTGTTATACATATACAGCAGCTAAAAGTGCAGCACTATAATTTTTAATTCAATGTTAAAGTAAAATTGTGAAGATTAAAAAAAAATCACCACCGAGTATTAACAAAAGACATAAATTTGATCTTACTTGGAGCTGATAACCTATATTTTTAAGTGCTCTTCTGTTATTGTAAATGACATTCAATTGATCATTTTTATCTCCCATTTGCTGTAACAAATCCTTGTTCTCTGAAATTGTTTTTTCCTTCCTTTTTCCTGCAGCTCTTAGTCGTCTCCCTGGTCCAACAGGCTTAAATCCAACAGCTGAATCACCTCCTAAATGCAGTCAGGTTCTCCAGAGTCCTGCTAACGACCTCATTATTTGACTCAGGTGTGTTGAAATTGAGACACACCTAAAAGTTGCAGGAGACCGGCCCCCCAGGCCTGGAGCTGCCCACCCCTGATCTAATGCCTTCCTGATTTCCGCTTGTTTATCAAGACCATTTTTTTGAACAGTCTTTTGACCCAAATGGCTTTATTTTAATTACGTATTTTTACCTTACCAGTAAAATTCCATACTGGTAAGGTGTCTTTGTTAGAGAAAACATTTTATTAGGGTATTAAACTGACTGATGTTTGATTTGTGATCATTTTGTATTTTATGTCTTTTAATGTTTTGGTTGTTTTTCCCTGTAAATCACTTTATGCAGCTTGTGCTGTTGTCTATCCCAAAAAGCAAACAACCTTTTATTCTTGGGGGTACAGCCAATCAGTGTCAAGGAAAACAAATGGCGGTCCTGGATTGCCTGCTTTCCAAGCATCAGCCAATATTATGTGAAGTAATTTTGCATGTGGGCATTTCAGCTTATAAAGCTGCATTTTACTTTGGATATTTTAGATATGCTCCAAATATTTTACTCAAATAATTTACTCTAATAATTTGTTCCAAAGGAAAATCTGCAAATAGGTGAAACTGCAAATATAGAACTGTGAATATTTTGGGTATCCACTGCAACCATGTCAATTAATGTATCTTACCACTTTGAATGAATTAATGAAATGGAAAAATAACATACAGAGACCTTTACAGTATCTGGAGAATTATTTGAGAGGACCCAAAAATGTAAAAAGACAGATTTTTCAGCCGCTTCCATCCAGTGGTGTTATGCAGTTTCACAACAACTGGAAGACTCATTTGCAAAAAATACAATGTAGTCCTGATTTCACTCATTTGTTGTCAGGTTAAAACCAAAGCAGAAATTGCAGCCACTTTAATTTAACCAAAGTGTAGTTTTGCTAAAAATACAACTGAAGTTTAAATCCATATGCAGCTCTTTGTTGCTGTGGTGAATGGAAGGCTGATTGGGTGACTGACCACTGAATGCTTATAAATTCCTGCATAGAGTGTCAGTTCAAGATGATGCCATGAGTTAACATTTCTGCTGACTTCCCCCAAACATCTGTGGCTAACGTCAGGCCCTGTGCTGAAGCCCAAATGTATCTTTACTTGATAAAAAGAAAGCAACAAATGTTAAAAGCTTACTAGTTTTATTAAAAAGAGAATTATAAGACATTCCTAGAAGAAATAATGATATTCAGAAGGTGGAAATCAAGAAGAAAATGTATAATTAAAATTTGAGTGGACCAAGAATGTACTACATCCATACATTTAGTGCTCTTTGTCTTTTTATGTCATTTTGGTTGTTTTCCTGGACAGTTACAAATTAACTTTTTAAAAAACTTTTTTAACTTTCCTAAACAGTGGCCTTAATGATTTGCTATCAGATCTGGTACAAAGAGGAGTGTGTTTTCAGTTCACCCTGAACAGACAGGACATCCTGTCATGCGGAGGGGTTCAGGGTGTCAGCACTGTGTGTGAGAACACGATGAGTAAAGGTACAGCAGGATGAAGCAGTCAATCAAAACAATGGTGTAAAAGCACCTCTGTGTGTGGAGGCTCCGCCCCCTCTGAAATCGAGTAAGCAGAACAGCCAGCAGTAGGAAGAAGGTAGTGGTGTTCATAAGCAAGAACAGTCTAATGTAGGAGGGGTTACCAGAGACCCCCTCACTCCTTGCTGTGGCCACAATGTGAACCTCCTTAAACCTGCGGCCTTTAACTAAGCCCCCCTTCCTGTTCCTGTGACCAGCTGGATAATCCACAAAGGCCCTTGAGTCTGCATCCCCTTCCTCTGGACTGTCCTCATATGTATGTTTTGATATTCTCTGTCTCTCATTCTTTTCGCTGACCTCAATTTGTGCAAAAATGTCAGGCAGATTCTCAGACAGCTTCTCTCCAAGGTTTAACCTCTTTCCCCCCTTACCCTTGTTCTGTTTCTTGGACATAGCAAACATCTTCTTAATGACCTCCTCTGTCTTCTTCTTGTCAGAGAATTGGAGGAGGTGCTCAGCGGTCCTACGGAAGCTGGCAGTGTTGAGGACTCTTCCCAGGATGTGTCTTTCCATCTGCTGGAAGACAGGTTTGACATGCTGGAGATTGTCCTCCATCACATTGGCGTATTCTTCAACTTCCACAGGGAAGCTGTCTACAACAGCTGCTGCTCTCTCAAACACAATCCTTTTGTGGTCCAGCAGCACTATGGCGAACACAGGCTTGCTGGTGACCTCCCCTGTCAGAAGGTAGATGGTGTAGGTATGGTCTTTGGTGGATAGGTAAATATCCACCTGCTGATCATGCCCACGTAAGCTGAAGCTCTGTACATCCAAGCCTGGTCCAAAGAAAATATAGGCCACCCTTGTGTGCGGGTACCTCAGGGGCATTGTTACATTCACATAATTGGAGCCATTATACGGATACCCTCGAGGGTAACTCCAGTAACCCACCATCCCTTTGTTACTGGAGTTTGTGTCATCCATCCAAAACATCTTATAGTTCTCCTTCCCATGTGTTACAAATGCTCCATGAACACCATCTACTTTTGTACTCTGAAATGGGAGCTCTGTGTTATGAAAGAAAGCACTCATGGCCCTGGTTGGGCTCCCTGGGTCCAGGTGGATGTGGTCAACCATGAGCAGAAGCTGTGGGTGAAGAAGCAGCAAGTTCCTCTGGAAGTTCCTGATTTTCAGTTCTGGGTTATAAGCCGAATGTCCTTCGCCACGAATGAAGACCATTCCCTCTCTCTTTATAGCAGCTTCCACTCTGCCCTGGGCATCGGCTGCAAGGCCCACCTTGTACTTTAACCACTTAGAGTCACAGGCTTCTGTTACTTGTCCAGCCCAAGGTTTAAAGCAGCTCCCAGATAGGGTTGAGCCAAACAATGCCACATTGTTTAACAAAGTATACTTGGGTCCATACAGTGCCTCTGTGATGAACGGGACACCGTTGGGTGCAAAGGTGAAAGAGTTCTGATCTGGGTGCTCATGACCAGCGTTGAAGTTCCTCCAGCCTTTGATCCACTCTTTGTACTTGTTATTGTGAACGATGTCAAAGATGGCACGTCCCCCTAGTTTCCCAGACTTGAAGGACAGAAAGGAGCTGTTGGTGCCAGAAGGCAAAGCACTGCCATACGTCACCACACCCCAGTCCTCGAAGTAGTGGAGCTGAGACGTTCCAAAATCTGCTGGGGGTTTGGGGATCAGGCCAGGGTCATACCTGCATCACAAAGACGAAGCAATAATCAGATAGGGAAAAGATTGTAGACAACTTTAACAACTTTTAAAGTCTGAGTTGTTTGTAACTTGACATAAAACTGATCAGTGATAATGATCAGTTTTATGTCAATTTAACCTCTTATGTTGCTCAGGTAAACCAAAACAGCCCTGTCCCAGAGACATTCTCTTGCTTCTGGAAACTGGAATGGGAGTTAAAATCTCAACACATGCTTTCAGTCAGGAACCAGACTTGAAAATTGAAGGACACTTAATAACTCTCCTGATTGCTTGACCTCCGAGACACAAGGGTTTAATTTGAAAAGAAAAAAATGAAGGAAAATTTAATAAAAGCAGAAAACAGTTACAGGTTCAGATCTCTAAAGCAAAATCCAACTACAAAAAGACTTGCATTACATCCAAAAATCCTTTCTATCAGAGGTATCACTCCTCTGGAGGGAAGTACTAAAATGTAACACCCAAATCTAACCAAAAAGTCCCAACTTATTGTGTCCTAAGCTAAGTTTTAAGAATTATTATGCACGACTAACACATGAGAAGGAATTACAGAGAAATATAAAAAAATGTGTTCTGAGTATCTGAACACAGAGACTCAGACCAGAATCCCTGTGCAGAGCCTCTATGTTTAAAGCATTGATGCCCTGCTCTGCTGCACACCTAATATGCAGTTCCTTTTAGCTTCCAGCAGAATCTTTTGTGGGAAGCTCCTGTGTCCACAACTCTCCTGTTTGCTTGACCAAAAGGTGGTGCCAGGCAAATCCCTCTCTGCAGCCTCTGCATGCTGTGACCTGAACCTCTGAAGGACACCTCCAGTCTCCAGCCTGGACCTGACTCTGATGCTGACCTCTGGGCCTTCAGCTTCCTTCAGCCACAGAACTTGTTAGTGGGTTTTAAATTTACACCCTTGGGAGTAATGAGAGATATGTATGGAAACCTTTGGAATTTTTTCCTTATTCTCAGATTTAGATAAAAACCTGAATCTACCTTTTTATTTTCTAAAAACAAAAGAGCTTCTACACTAAAATCTAGTTTGCTCTAGTTTCAAATCATTGATCAATTTGATATTTGAGATATTAGGCACTCATGAATTCCAAAACAACAAAAAACAATTCCATCATTTTACTTCTCTGGAAACCTTGAAAGGGATTCAGTAAAATAGCCAAACAAATTCCTGTTGCAGTTCAAATTCAGCTGATGGAATATCTCAAAAACTTTTGGTTTTAGAAGTCCTTCAGTTTGGCTTTAAGTCATTTTACAGCACGGAAATATTATGTTAATATGTTAATGATATTTTCTAAGCAAAGATTGCAAAAATCATGTATTGCTTGTGCAGTTGGAACTCGAAGCTGCATTTTACACAGTGGATCGCAATGTTTTCATCACTGGACTATAGCACTGCATGCTGGCTTGGCTTCAGTGATTACAATCATATTTCTCAATGACAAAGTTTGTTATGTAATGTTGTAACATAACCACTATGTTTGTTTTTTGGTTGTTGTTTTTTTTCTGAATAAATACATTGAAGAAACATATCATCTGGTTTGTATATGTAACCCAGGAAAAAAAAAAAACTGCCATTAATCCTGCCTTTGCTGCTCTATTGATTAGAGTGACAGTCAGTCACACAGGTTATTCAGGCTTGCTCCAGCTTTCCCAGTCAGGTGTGAGGGGGAGAGCTGGAGACAAAGGTGCTTCCAAACAATCAGTTCATCTCTTTGTTTGTTATGCACTTTTTGAAAACTTACAATCTACAAATCATGTAGATCTGAACATCCAGTGAGCTTGGAGCCATGAAGCTGTCATGCACTGAACTATAAATGGAATTGGTGAGTAGTGAACACAATGTTTGTTTGTTTAGCATGTTGGTGGTGGTAGCCAATGCTAATTGTGTGATCATTAATTGTTATATGATCAACCTTCTTAAATTCAACATGTGTTTAAGATAATGAGATAAATGTTATCTTTATTGTCTGAAAGTTTAGATTTTGGATATAATTGCATTTATTTCTGTATGTAACTGAAAAAAGTCTAGTTAATTAGCAGTCTGGTAATTTACTGGTCCTGTTTATTTTAATACAGGCCAGGTGACCCTCTTGATTGGGGTTAAAGGATGGCGAGTGTTGGGAATGGAAATCCCGATCGATGAATCATAATTTGTATTGACACACGGAGCATAAAATCAGCCAAGAAAAGCATTCAGACTTTACTTATTTTATTAACTTTCAGCGCTGAAAGGAGACACTTTACCATCACATCCGAGAAGAGTTTCTAAAAAAGTCTGTGGAGCGTCTGAGGAGAAGGAGGAGGGTAGCTGATTATATGAACTGAAGACACTCCCTGAAATCACACCATGTCTCTGTGGCCTGATAAGTTTCTGTTTCTCTGAGAAATGGACCTTGGTGTCTAACAGAATCAAAAATGTAACTCTTTACTATGGGCCCTTTGTCTAACAGCGTGTGACTTTTTCTCGACCTTGGTAAAGCATCTCAACACGAGCTTCTGAGATCTGGCTGGGGCCAGGAGAACCTGAAATTCACTCCATACTGGTCTAGTAGGAGCCTTATGGTCTGTATCATTTCCCCCTCCATCTCACCATACAGACACACAATCCACTATTCATCTCTTCATCTGAAACGACTTGCGCTTGGACATTGTCAACTTGAATATCTGGACAATTCAACTATGGACTTTTCGAATGTGTGTCGGTCAGACACTGTGCTGACCAGCGGGGAAATTTAAGACTGTTGTGCACAAATGTATGGAAGATCTATTGCAGTACTGTGTATATTTATTATTCTGGGTTCTATGTATGTTTTGTCTTGTGGCGTTCACTTTAATTTTCTCTTTAAAATGCATGGCATTGAAAGCAGTTATTCTTTTGCATTGTTTTTATTGATTACTGACAACAGCTCCAGTAGACGAATTTAGTCTTGCATATCTCATCTAGTCCCTTAGTACATTAAATAGTGCTACATATAACATCCATCCATTTTCTTTACACCCTTGTCCCTTAGTGGGGTCGGGAGGGGTGCTGGTGCCTCTCCAGCT